CGTCAGCCGCGGTGCAGTATTTTGGGGTTTTATCAGAACTAGACACTGATCTCTGGGGCTAACTGTATTGAAAAAAATAGTTTATCATGTTTCTTACAGCAATCGCAAGACATAGGCTGAATTTTCCGTCAAAGCCTCAGGATTTGGTATGGTCACGCGTCTAATGGTCAAAATTGTACAACATGGCGGCAGCCCAGTGGGGGTCACTTTTGCCTTGTGAACGGGATACCAGTTTATCGCTCCTCTACCTTGTTGGTGTAAACATGAGTTGATCTATATTTGAATACTTTCACCAATACTATATGGCGCACTTTTCGTATGTGCAGGTATGGGCTCCGTAAGTTTCCTCGGCTTCTGGCATTTTTCCTGGGACCTGAACCGGGTCGAACGTTTCCACGCTTACGCCTACATCGCGTTTGTGTTCTGTGTCTGCCTCGAATACACCATCAACTTGGGGACGGCTCTGAGACGGCGTGCCAGGCTTGTCCGGCTCATTAAAACTTGCTGTGGTCTAGAACCGCTTCTAAACGCACCACGGGATACCTTCAAAACTCTGCTCAACTACTCTTTGGGATGCCTTGGATTTCAGGTAAGAAATCGAAGTCCGAAGCTCAGATTTTCGCTGTTTATTCAGTGTATGGGCGGTTTCATTTGAACTCAGGCAACGAGGTGCAGTCGTATTTTTTATTTTGCCTATAATTTTTATATTTTGTGGCGCTTGTTCCAAGAAGAACAATCCTTTTTATTTTAATGTGCTGACATGTTTAGTTTCTGAGGAAAAGAAATCCCAAAGAAGGGGGAAAGAACAACGAGGTGTTGATGATTGTCGTGTTTGGTTTTAGATTCACTCTCAATCTCTAAGTATTTAAAGAGAACATCTATATTTTTTTTAGTGGGGTATATAAGGCAAATAGGTAAAACTAAATTATAACTAATATTTATTGTTCGTCGCTCCAATCTTTGTAAAGATTCCCAAACATGCCTCCGCGAACAAGTGTGACCTAAATTGCGTTTTTTTTTTTTTTTGAGTCGACTATGTTTAGTTTTGCTTTTGAAATAATGCCACGTGTAGAACCTTTCATTGCCTTCCAAATTAATCAAAGTTTTTGCATTTATCAGGTACGAGTACTGAGAAATAAATTATGAAACAGAGAAGGTTTTCACGTTTCGTTCAATTTCAGCACGCTGTATCAAAGAAATATTTTTTTTTATTTTTTGTTTATTTGTTTTTGCTCGCGTCGCGTTTTTTTTTTTTTTTTTTTTTACCACACTCTTTTACCCAGGATACATTCCGTTAGAGGTATTCGCACTGGTTTTCAATTTTAAACCTCTAAATGTGCTAAAAAATTATTCTTTTCAGTTATCAACGTGAGCTTCGCATTAAAAACCTAAAATTTTGCATTTAAAAATCTAGGTTTCTGATAGGAAGTGCATTTTACTCAGATGTTTTACAATATTATACTTTAATATTTGTAACATAGTAAAGATTATGTAGCGCATAGGGTCTAGGCTTGAGGCCTCTCCAATCACACCACCGGCCGAAATTGTATGAAAATTCGCTTTCGGCAGTTGCGATTTTATTGTGTTTAGGCGTTTGGAATTGCAAACTTGTTATTATACGCCTAACGACATTAATGTATTTTATATAATTATTTATTAAACGTCCCTTAGATTTTTATAATAAAAAATAAAATATACAGCTATAACCCCTCAAGCCACCATCAGCATTTGCTCTTTTTTAGCATGTTTAGAGGCTTAAACCTCAATACTAGTGCATATACCTCGAACGGAATGTATGATGGATAAAAAAGGATGTAAAAAAAACGCAACACGACAAACGTTTTAAAAAAGCTTTTTTTTTTTTTTTTTATACAACGTGCTGAAATTGAACAAAAAGCGAAAACCTTCTCTGTTTTATAATTCATTTCTCAGTACTCGTACATGATGAAAACACAAACTTCACTTCATTTGGAAGGCAATGAAAGGTTGTACAAGTGGTATTATTTTAAAAGCGATACTAAACATATTCGACTCAAAAACAAATCCGCAATATAGGTCACAGTTGTTCGCGGAGGCATGCTTGGCGATTTTTATAAAAATTGGAGCGACGAATAAAAAATGGTAGTTATAAAGGCGTCTTACCTACTTGCACATATACCACACTAAAAATAAAAGACCTTCTCTTTTGAATACTTTGAGATTGAGAGTGATTCAAAAACGCCACACACGACAATCATCGACACCTCGTTGTTCTTTCCCGCTTCTTTGAGATTTTTTTCCTCAGAAACTAAACATGTCCGGACATTAACACAAGAAGGATTGTTCTTCTTGGAACATGCGCCACGAGATATAAAAATTTGAAGCAAAATAAAAAAAATACGACTGCACCTCGCTGCCTGAATCCAAATGAAACCGCCTGTATATAATTTCGCCTCGAACAGATTAAAGGAGCGATGCAACAATTTTTGTACTGTGCACAAATATCGCTTAAAACGGATCCCTAACGTTAATGACATATGAAACACGCGTTCGTTTTTCACCCCACGCAATAGAAGTCCCAGAAAAAAATTTAGGAAAAACGAGCAGCGTTCACCCCCTCAACTCGCAGCCAGAACAAGTGGCCACGTGATCTGGAGCCGATTATATGCCGCCAGTGTTGATCATAGCCACGCGCTGGGGTTGGCAAAGCGCAGGACACGCGCTTAGTTCCAGACATTGTTATGGCTCGGCTGTTGTCGTCGTTGCAGCGATTGGACACGGGTCACAACCCGAATGCTTCTCGAGCTAGCAGTTGTCACGAGCCCAAGTCGAGTGCCCACGCAATGCTCGGGTCCAATCTATGAACCGCATTCAAATATCGTCACTTGGGTGTACTGCGATCCCCGAGTTACGTCATGAAATTTTGCAAAGGAGAGATTGAATGAAAATGATCGCTTTTGCCCTTGAAATTACACCGCAACAAAGGAGTTTCTTGGCCAGTGGCGTTGCGTGTGAGTATCCTTGAGTCCCACTAGTGCCAGTAAGCTCGTGTATAGTGAAAAACATTCCAGCTGAATATCGTTGCACAGCTCCTTTAAGAGAACATGAAGAAAGGAACTCATAGCTAGGGTTCTGCGCTTTCGGAGTATTAGTTTTTGGCAAAATAAGAGGGCGTTTTTCGGAATCTACTTTTCACCTCAGATTTGGAGGTTTCCGGAGTATTCGCTCACCGTTCACTATAAATTGGAGTTATTTTATTTTTATTTCATTTTTTTAGGAGGCCAATTCAAGGCAAGTGTTACGTAGGAACGAGGTTTGTCTTAGAGAAAGGTCCGAAGGTGAATGACTGAAAGAGCCAGACGCGTTGAACTATTGTCGTAAAAATTTGGCCTCCTCTTTTTTTTTTTTTTTATGAGGGCTTTAAAGACGTGCATTTGTCACGCGGACAAAAGTACAAATAAAAAAAAAATAAAAAAAAGATACAGTACCAAATTTGTTGCAGAATTTGAGGAAAAGGTGATGAAGACTGGTCAGAGAATATTTTTACCTGCGCGTGTTTTTCGTAGTTTATTAGATTTATTCGGAAATACAGAGCCCTTCTTATAGGTCATAACCCACATACATTTCCTTGAGTCTGACACGTCAGTGTCCTGGCTTGCAGCTCGTTTGAACCTGTTAATAAATTAACATTCGCGGCTTTTTTTTTTTTTTCTTCAGTTTTCTAATTTGTGAGAAAAGCAGGCAGCCTACAAATGGTTCCTTGACCCATGCATCCCCAATCATCACTCAGGTCTTACCATTACATAATCCCACGCGACCGAACAGCATATATCGCTACCGCAATATTATATATACAGATTTCGCAGCGGCAAGGTGCAGACTTTCAGCGAATCTCCTTTTGGTACAGTCATGTCCTGTCTTTACTTCGTAGGAGGAAGTTAATTGCCGCAACACCCAATCGCTCGCAAAATCACAAATAAAACAGAAAGATCGAAACACTTGATCAAGTATTTCTCAGACGTGGTGCGAAGTCTTATTTGCCTCTTTTCGCGTACGAACGCCCTCGCTCGTAATTTGCTAATCAGGAAAGCGTTAATTAAGACACGGGCATTGGCTATAACAATAAAAATTCTCAAGAATACATAAAATACAGCCAAGGCTTTACTGGGGGAAATATGTGCTCCGGTCTGATGGAGCAACTAAGCATTTTCATCCAAGTTTCCAAGCGTGACAAATGATTCCTTTCTGAACTAAGCTGCGAGTGCTGCCAACCTCCGCAGTTGTTTCTTTCCCGATTTTTATCCGAAACTTTTGTAGATTTCCTGGATTGTCAGAAAATGTGTTACTTTGCGTCAATATTGATATTATCGTTATGGAGTAGCTTCAGAATTGATTCCCGTAGTTGGGTGGCCATTTAAAGGTTAAATTTGCTTCGTGGAACCCTCCCCCCCCCCCTCCCCCCCCCCCCAAATCTCTGTTGTTATCACTGGAGATTATCTCTGGCATCAAAATATACAAAGAAGCCTTTTCCCCCCTGCGCCTCGGCTGGCAGAAAGAGGGAAAGAGAAAGAAACTTGTTTCTAAAGCCCTCTAGAACCCATGAAACGAAAAGTCCCTAGATTTTACCAAATTTCCCTTTGCCCCTAGACGATGACGGAAATTCCTTGATCTAGGGGAGAATCCCTAAGGCTGGCAGCACTGTAAGCTTCTATTGTCACTGATAGCTTAGGAAGCGCTGTGTGGAGTCCCGAGTACCTTATCATCACCCTGATTGCGGCATTCGCCGATAAGAAAGACGTACAACCAATCAGAAAGCAATTGCAATGTAATCACCGTAAGCCATGGGGTGGATGGTTGATCATGTTGATGTCCAAACTATGAAAACGAAAGAGGGACCTAGAAGACAATGCGGTCGAAAGCCCGTGTGGTTTGTGCTGTCTTCTATGTGTCCCTCTTTCGTTTTCGCAATATAGAACGCCACGCAGCGCGTTCCTTCGGTTTTGAGTGCCCACAGTCTGTTTCGTGTCCAGATATCCCTGGTCGTCTTCTGCCTGGGCCTGGCCGTCATCAGCGATTTCGGACTCATCCACCTCAAGCATGTCGAGGACGTGCCCAAATCGTTTCAGTGTCTGTCTGTTGTCCTCGGAGTCGACTACCTCTTGGTCATCCTGCCGACCTGCCTTATGCCCAGGATCTGCTTGACCTATTTCTTCGGTGCGTTCAGGCTCTACCTCAGATGCATCCGTAGCAACATCGAGGCCTGCATGCAGTCCACCCTCGTTCCTCCAGACCGGTGAGGCATACTGCCAGAAAACAAGTCATCCGGGACGCGTGTTGAGATTTTCTCACAGAGTAAAACCCTGAGGCAAATCCAAAAAAACCCTAATCAGCATTTTTTTTTTTTAGACACGTTACAAATGCACATTTTTCGACAACTAGACACAGGCGGCGGCGTTTTTTTTTTTTTTTCTGACTCCAAACGTTGCCCTGGTTTATGCGGTAGAAAGAAAGAAGGGGGGGGGGGGGGGGGAGGGGGGGGGGGGTGAATGCTTAATTAAACACCCTCCAATGTTTCTCGCCCCTGCACGGAGGCCACCTCGGAGATTCGCTTGCTTACGGCCCTATCGGAACCGGCCCATTTTTCGTCAGAAAGCGTTGGCATCGTGCCGTTGTATCGGGCTTCAGTGCTTTTTATACCCCTACTATCGATACTAAAAAACGAAGCGTCAAAATAGACTAAATACGCGCCTGGATAGACGCTGACAATGTTGGCCCTGCGGGACAATGCCCTACAACGGCAGCGGGAAGATAGGCCTAGGGAGAGTGTGTACGCATGCGCAGAAGCTTACTGGAAGGTCCGTTTGTCTGTCGCTGTACCAGCGTTTGTTCGTTCACGGCTGTTCTGTCACTTTTCTTCGTTTTTTTGGTTTCCCAGCAAAAAAGAGATGCTAGAAGAGTACCGGGCTCTGCTGAACACGCTGAAGACCTGTGTCAACGAAACTGGCGTCACCCTGGGCACTGGACTGATGTACACGTACAGCTACGCGGCCTGTCTTTTCTGCGGCTCCATCTTTTACATTTTTGTACCCAACACGTCGAACAACATCCGGCTCTTCTTCCTGGGAAGCGGATTCATGCACTTCATCAGTCTCCTGGTACCCACGGCGGTCGTGCACAAATTCGCCGAAGATGCAAGTACACTTTCGACTTCCGAATCCGAATCGTGGCGTCAAATACTTGACTCGGAACACAGCGGCGGGTGGTAACCTTCGGAACACATCGACAGCCGTTACTGGCGAGGTGTCGCGGGGAGGCAATACCCCGTAGGCACCGACGATAACGTCATATGCAGGGCTTGTCTTCTAGGTGGTATTGCGTAAGGTCTCAGTGTTGCCTGACGTCTCAATGTCACGTAACGTCAAGGTGTACCGTGACGCCACTGGGCGCCGTCACGTTTAGCGGAGAAAGTTTCCCGTCAAATTTAGCGGGCAAATACTTCGCGCATTTCTCCGCCAAGGCGATAAATTTGGTAGGAAAATTTATCCTTCAAACTTAGCGGACATTATTGTATTGCTAGATTTAGCGGGAAATTGCGCGTGTTCAGTGCGATAGTGTGTAGTCTTTGCACAGCGAAGTGTGCGACGTCCTCGACTGTCGCCGCAGTTAATTTGAGGGACACTGCGTGGAACCGAAACTTTAATTTTTGGGTCAATTCTGCCTCTAAGCTTGGCTTAGCATTTTAATGCTAAAATGAATACAATATTTGTTTTTACGCAACCAAGGAGTACGAATTTTGATTGGATATAAATAACCCGCTAGCCTTTAATATTAACCTTTCTTTCATAATTTTAGATAGGCATTTAACGAGGCTCGAAATTTTTTTTTTCTCGCAAATTACACGATGTAATTTAATGCTCTTTCTTTTTTTATTTTTCAGGTGTCAGACCTCCGGAATACCGTCCAGTCCTATTCTTTCGCAGCGCTGCCTAAAGATGTGTTCGATCAGGTAGCGACCGATCACATTCGCTTAATCAACACCGTGTTCATAAAATTGGGGAAAAAATATATATATATTGATGTGTAGCTCACAAAATGGCGCGTGAATATTCCAGGTCACCGGAGAAGTGTGGAAAGGTTAAATTTTCCTTGTAGGAAAACGTTAGCAACATAACACGAAAACATTTACTTCTTGTACACTTCAAGGGTCTCGAAAACGAACTGAGCTTTTCGCACGAGTGCACAGGAGGGATCGACACTAGGCTGAACATTTTGCGTGAGGTGTTTAAGTATATATCTAGCAAATACGGATTGTAACATCTTCCGTATTTTTTGTTGTTGTTTAGTTTTAGAAAATGAAGCACGTAGAAAAACTTGATTATCATTGCGCTTTCAGCACTACCGCGCAGTTATAGATGCTCCTGGAGCTTTCCAGCTGAGCGTAGAGGGGGAAAGAATAAAGGGAAAAAGAGACGCATACTGCTGGACTATCAACCATTTATCAGAAAATCTTCTTTTTCATCGACACTCATCTACATGTACACTCACCAGTGTGTGTGTTTCTTTTTCACTTCTCCTTCGTTTTTTTCCCCTCTACGTTCAGCTACAAACCTTCAAAAAGCTTGCCAAACCAACCAGCTCAGGTCCAGAAAAAATAAACAAAGACGTAAGAATTTCTGCGGTGTCTAAGTACAAAAAGTAGCTGATGGTGCATCAGGTAGCCTGATGGACCATCAGAAAAATCTGATGGACCATCAAGAAACTCTGATGGTCCATCAGGAAAGCCTGATGGTTTTTTCGATCGGGACATATATAACATGTGGACGATTGCGTCGTAGGCAGGCTTTTAACCAGCATCCTTTCTCATACCATTTTAAACTGCCAGAAATATCGCCTTGTTCACCATCAGGCTATCATCTCCAGGCTGTGATTTACGCATTGGCAACTGCTTCAGATCTCTGATAACTATAAAATAAAACAATATTTTTCCATACGCTCATACTTTTCGCATGCCGGCTGAACTGCTTAATTAGCACGAAGCCAGAGGCAATGGCAATGGAAACGAGGTTGGTGAAAGTTCCGATCCTGTTACAGGAAGACATTTTTTTTTTTTTTTGGCATACTCGAATTAAAGGCATTATTAAAATGAAGATCTCGTGATTATAAGACAACATATAAAATGTCTCGATTCTATCTCTGACAAACTCTGAAGTCTACACAGAGAATGTATCGCAAATGAGCTGGGCACATGCTGTGTGTGTTTGACACTGCACGTCACTCGACGCATGATACCAGGTTGCGTCACAAGGGACATGATCACATGACGATATCGCCGTCATGGTACGTGACATCATAATGTCAGGTGACATCAGGACCTTCCTATGGGCCCTGTGGGCTGTATGTAAAAAGGTAACGCTTGAATTAGACGTAACGCTTTTCTCAAGGAAATGAGCGTACAAGCACATTCTGTGGAAAAAAGAACTTTTTTCGGAAGCAGGTAACGTAGAAACTTACTTCCAAGTATCTTGAGCCTAGCCATTCGCCGAGTCTCCTCCGTAGTTTGGTGCGATTTGCGCTCAAAACAGCTTTGAGGGAAAGTATATACTTCTGATTCCTTAGAGGGCATTTTGTTGAGTCTGGAAAAGAAAATATACTTTTGTTGGCCATGGCGCGTTTGTTCGCTTTAATTTTATATCCCTGTACGCAGATATCAATGATGGTCTTCGCCCTCGAGAAGGAAAACTTCAGATTCTGCGTAAACGGATTCTTCAACGTCCATCTTCCGGCGTATGCGAGCGTAAGTCTGACTACGGGCGAGGAGGTGATCGAACTTTAGAAAACGCTTTAAACACCCAAGCCAACACCCTATACAACCGGATCAAGTCGCGTCCCGTGACGCGACTTGATCCGGTTGTATAGGGTGTTGGCTTGTCTTCTGATAATTTGCTTCTCCGTCATCTTTTATCATTGCTCTGCTTGCTGATATTGTCTCTTTAGTAACCATTCTTTATAAAGAAGTACTCGATTTTTTTTGTGTTCTTATTGTGTTTGCATCCTGCAGTATTTCCGCTGTTTTCTGCCATTGTGTGAGGGAGGTAGAGGGCCTCGTCAAGGCTGCAAAGAAAGCAGCTCTTTACCTTATGCCTTCCTCCTTTTAAAACGATTTATTATTTATCATTACATCGAAACCGAAACGGCGGCCCAAAAAGTACCCAATATGCTTTGCGCGGCACTATACGCCGCTATAGGATCGCTTCGATTTTGCGAGAGGTTAATGAGGTGCGCAAGTTCGTCTGCTTCTTGCACAGGGGTTGCGAGGATATCAGAACGCCAAACACTTATCAAATGGTTGCAAAAAAAAAAAAAAAGATAGTGGGTTGATATTAAGGCATCTATCAATACATTGAGGTCTACTCATTATTCTCACAGTCAAAGCCAATCAGAGCTCAGCGTCATTTTGACGTCACTGCAACTCCAGACGACTTGCGCTCCGCACTGGGGCTGCACTGATTCAGCACGAGCGCCAGCCAAACGCTGTGTCACACACACACAAAAAAAGAAAAAAAAAGACAGCGAACAGACTTTTATTTAGTCCTGTAATGTATGAAATGCAGTATATTTGAGGAGCGTTTGAAGGCCGTCAACGGCTGTTTTCGGAGAGTGCAAAAGACCCAATATTTTTTTTTATATATAAATTTCCCCGCTATATTTAGCGAAGAAACTAACCCGGTACAAAGGTCACGTGACGTCAACTTTCTTGCGCCCTTACGTTCTGCTAAATTTTCCCGCTAAGTTTAGCGGGAAACTATTTCGGTGTATAGGATCGCGTGACGTCGGGTCAAGCGACATCAATTTTCTCGCCATATTTATAGTTGAGAAACTAGATCGGTGTGTGTATACTGTCTGGTGACGACAAATCACGTGACATCGAATCCCCCGGAAAAAAAATTTGGCTGGAAAACTGAATTTATGCGTGGGCGTCGTGACGTAAGGTCATGTGACATCAATTTCCCCGCTAAGTTTAGCGGGGAATGCACGAACGGACAGACGAACAAATTTTTGGGATTCGGGATTGGAAGGGGGGGGGGGGGGGGGGGTTCACATTTGAAAGCATATCATGCTTTAATAAATTCTCCTTGTTGCCCCTGCGGGTTTTGTTCGAAATTTAGACCGTATGGATGCGACGGTTTTGAATATCTTCCACTATAGTCACACCCTACCTAAAAGAACGCGGAGGCTTAGGCTTTTTGCTTCGTCATTGTTTCTTTGTCGCTCGTATCGGCTAACACTGAAACCTCATTGGCTGAAAATTGATAAAAAGACACGACCTTTGTTTTGTTTTTTTAACCGGTAGGCATCTTATGAGAAATGTTCTTTTCAATTCTATTGTCTAATTCCAACGGCTGCCTGTTATCTCCAATTTTACTTTTATGAGTGTATACTGCGATTAGTTTTCTTTTAGAGTTCAGTTCTTAGGCACCCGTTTCCATGTTGAGCGGCGTTGCCGTCGCCATCGCCGTCGCCGTCGGTGTAACCGCGCGGTGCATTATGGGAAACGTCCCATAATGACGTCACACGTGACGCCATTCAACCCTAGAAAAGTTTTACGTTACATTTAGCGGGAAAAATTTTCCCCGTAAATTTAGCGGGGAAATTTTACCTTCGTGACGCCACACGTCACGTGAATGAATGTGATGTCACGTGAAATTTAGCGGAAAAACGTTTCTGCTAAATTTAGCGGGGAAATTGAAGTCACGTGACCTCAACACCAATTCAGTTTTTCCGCTAAATTTAGCCGGAAAATTTTCGCTAGATTTAGCGGGAAATTTAGAGAAAATTTTCCGCTAAATGGGAGGGGAGCAGGAGAGGAGGAAGGGAGGGTACGGAGGGGGAGGAGGGCCTACCATACCCTCCCCTCCTTCTTCTCAAAAGCTGCGCTTTAATTCGGCATTACGGAAAATTCTAAATACCTTTCGTTTTTCTGCGAAAATTAATCTTTTTTTTTTTTTTTTTTTTTGTTATTATTTGTGAAAGGGGCACTGAAGTCGATTCTGAGATCGTTCTTTTTTTGAGACAACTCAATCTAGACGCACTAAGCATCCCAACAAACCCGAAATCATAATCGTGCGTAGCTTATTTCCTCGTTAAAAAGCGTCTTCAAAGATCGCGTCACGCCCTTTTTGGGAAGAATTTTCTTCCGAGTGAAGTGGTCGACGAAGGGCGCTTGTCGGCGAGTTGCAAGCGGTGGCTTCGCCCGCGGCTTATCCGAATGCGTACCTATCAGACTCTCTTCGAAACGAGCTAAATTAAAATCATTCGGAATCTGCGCGTATTGTAGGGCTTCCATTGGTCCACACAATGCAATTCGGGGGGAAAAAGAAGTCCACATGTTTTTCACTTGCCCTGAGATGAATAGGCAGTTTTGTAATATATGGCTTGGAATATGCGGAAACTAACACCTTTTAACCAATATAAGATCAAAAACTACCTTTTTCAAAAATGACTTGAGTGCTCCTTTGAGCGCAAGCCTGCATTTGGAAACGTGCTCCACTGTTGCGGCATTTTGGGGAGCTTGGGCCCAGTCAAGCGGTTTGTGAATAGCTTCTTTTCCTTGTGTCCCCCAACGCTGTGTTTGCTAGGAAATAAGGGAAATTATGATATTATTATTATCAGAGACTATATCATCCTTTCAAATGTTTAAAAAGTCTGTTTTTTTTTTGTTAAAAACATTGAATTATGTTCTCAGATAGCACCTAGCCTCTAGACCCTTGTTTCTGTTTTTGTTATATACTCTGGAACGTGTGCTGAATTGCTTCTATTATTGTCCCGCGTGAACAAATGAGCAGTATTAAGTACTAAATACTTAATTTATTAATCGTATGTTCACGCGCTTACCAGAATAACAAGAAAAAAACTTTTCCTAGTTAATATTTATATTTTCTTTCTCTTAAAGGGATACTTCAACGAAATTTGAAATATTCCCGTCCTGTTCAAAAATAGGTTGAATATGATCCACATTATCCGTAAATGACAATCGCACGTTTGTATTTTGAGCCTGGTGGCTGTATTTTTCGTTATAAACGGCCCACTCTGGCAAGCGCTCGGAGAAGGCCCAGCGGAGACCACGTGACATCCAACGCACTCGTGACGTAGGTCGTCTCAAGACGAGCAAAGCTACGGCGAGGCTGACGTCGAGAGGATGGCCTAGTCGTTCCAGCCACCGAAGCGGCTGCTTTTGTACAAATTTTGAGTGACGGATTAATCTTCTATAATCTTGTAGGGGGACAATAGCGACTTCTGTGACACACAAAAGGTATTCTCGGGAAGAGGGGAGTTCCACCTGCCGCTCTTCTCTCGTCGTGGCCGGAGGCGAGACAACCTCCGTCACTAGCTGCCAAGGTTGCTAGACGGGCATTACAAGCGAGGCGTTAGCGACATCCACCAGGTGCTCTTTGCTGATCGTTTAATTCGTGTTAAAATTCCTTTTCGTGACTTTTTTAACAAGATATTGGTATGTTCGATTTGATGGTGCTTTTTTGAACACATATAGACCAAAAAATGAGCGCCGAAATTTCGTTGTAGTATCCCTTTAATGTAACGGCAAAAAAAAAAAAATACTTTGCCGGCAAAAAAGCGAAACAAATTTTCTTTCATTTTTGTTTAACACTGATAAAAAAAAAAAACTTGTTTTGCCTCCTGCAGATCATTGGAGCCGCCTTGACGTACACCATTGTGCTGGTGCAAACGCACAACCTTCATTTGGAAGACCCGACGACGCTTCTGTAGTTTCGTCGTTAGTGAGCCGATCTCACCGGCCAGTTCCTTATTTATTCGCAACTCTCAGCGATGGTGGTTCCGCAATCGCGCGCTGTCTAGCTCCTGGATGATCGGCTTCGCAATAAAGATGGTTGCCTACACCTTCCTGGAGTGAAAAAAATAAAGTAAGGCTCTACTACTGCCGCTCGTATATATATATATTAAAAAAAAAACTAGAAATACTTACGCGTCGCACACCGCAGACAGTTATTCAGATGACAGACATTTTGATAGGCGCCAGTGCGCCACCCATGGCCGAGGAATTTGCGAATATGCCGCCGCCGCTGGCGCGGTGCACAGTGCGAACTGGGCGTATGCAGCACGCGTGACGGCGTAAGGTGCGCTTTAGACAACGTTACTAAATTGCCTCAGTTGTGGAACTCCCGCCGAAGGGCGGGAGTTCCACAACTGAGGCAATCCGCCTCCCGTCGTTCGAAGCGCCATCTAGATTTTCGTTTACGAACTGTGTTTTCCATAGAGTACGGAGAAGCGCCATCTAGACGCTGCGCTTTGAAACGTACGCATCACATAGAATAGACTGCCGTTACCAAAACAGCCGTCCGGCGCGTCGAACGACAGGAGGCGAGTCGTGGTGAGTGAGGGGGTACAGCTCGTGCAAGCAGCGTCTATTAGCAGTTTCGTAGCTGAGCTAATTTATTAACGTTGGCTGTAGCCTGCTTCCTGTAAACCAACGTTATTAGATCACCTCAGTTGTGGAACTCCCGCGGAAGGGGGTACCCCCTCCCTGACTCGCTTCAGACCGCTTCCCGTCGTTTGAAGCGCCACCTAGATTTTCGTTTCATAACTGTGTGGTCTACAGAGCAGACCTTGAACGGCCATCTAGACGCTGTGCTTCAAAACGTGTGTATTTCACACTGCAGTTACCATAGCAGCCGTGGCGCGTCGAGCGTCGGGAGCCGAGTCGTGGTGAGTGAGAGGGGTACTGCTCGTGCAAGCAGCGTCTATGAGCAGTTCCGTAACTGAGCTAATTTAATAACGTCCCTGTAAACTAAAGTCATGGTAGCGTCACGCATGCGTCGAACACCCGAGTCTCACCATACTATGTTCATCCTTAAGCTGAGACTGCAGCCAAGGCCACAAGCATGAGAAGTCGCTGCTTCGAAGCGTTCTTCCGCAGAACGAGCACTCGTGCTAGAAATGAACGTCTCAAAGCTAGGAACGCGGGCTATAGGTAGCGCGTGTAGCTTTGGCTGCAGTACCAGCTTAAGGGTGAGCAGGGTGTAAAGTGACCTAGAGCTACTAAATGAGCTACACTTAGAGTACCGCCAGTCTGTCCCCTATATTGTTCTGGGCGCCGCCATCTTGGTGCTTGTGCAAAGCAGACGCAACTGCCGATCGTCATAATTCAAACGTGCGACTAAGCATCAGTTTCGGTGTAAGGAAGCTCATGCAACATAGCCTTGCTCATTCTCGAACTGTTGAAATAACTCTGGAGGACGGAAAAGCGTTTCCCGTGATTTCAAATAAAGCTTCAGATAACTGGCAACCGTGATTTTAAGCCACAATATGGCCAAGTGTCGTTACTCTGAAGCGTAGCTTATTTAGTGGCACTAGTCGGCCTAAGGTACACTCGCGCGCATGATGTACGCTTCTTTAGGCTTGTCGGCGTCGGCTGTTTCTGTTTGTCGCTCTAGTGTGACTCGATCATTGGGGTGGGGATCGGTCTATTAATTCGTGTAACCGGTGCGTCCAAAGTGGACTCCACGAACGCGTGTTATTTCTAGTCGCACCAACTGTGCCTCTGTTTCTTTTCAAGCACCATTGTATTCCCTTGTTACGTGAAGACTGTTTCACCTTCGCTCTGGGCTTAAACATACACTTCGTCTGCTTCACAACCACCTCCTTAGTTTAGGACAGTGTTGGCGGTTACGCGTTACAAGAAACGGCGTTACTGGTAACCTTTATCGGCAATGTGAAACGTACTCGCTACTTTTTCAATACGGTAACGGGCAACGAACTTGCGTTACTTATGTCAAGTAACGTGTAACGGAGTTACGTTAATTGTTACATTTGCTTCCCAAGATTTACAAAATGTAATTAGTTTCGTGTTTCGGGGTGGCAAGCCATGCGAATTTTTAAGTTTTTTTGTGTTTTACTTGAGTATTTAGGTGAAACCTTAAAAAAAAAAATAGTCAGTTTCTGCATGGACATAATGTTTCTTGAAATATGGCGATTATGTATATCTGTAACGTCAAAACAGTAAAACGCGTTAATTAACGAGGAAAAAGTAACACAAAAGTAACGGTAATGGTAGCGCGTTCCTTTTATTTGCAAGTTACGGGTAACGCTGTTTTTTTTTTTTCCGGTAACGCCTACAACACTCCTTTAGGGCCTCCTCGGTTGACATCTCTGTTAAAATCAAAGGTAAGGTAATGCTTCAAATTGTATGATCTGCGCTTTATGGTCGGTGACAGGTTCAGAGGAAACTTCTCTTACCTCTTTCCCCTCTAGCACAGCGAACGCCGGAGAGGAGGTCGCCTCCTCTCCAACTTTTACACTGCTAAAGTGGAAAGACGTAGAAAGATAAATTTTCTCTGACCTGTCACCGAATATAGGTAGATAGGAAACGAAAAAAAAAAATGTTTTGAAATGGGTTTAAATAATTCGTACTCGTTCCAACAAGATACGCGTTATTAAAGAGAAATGTGTTAAATACAGGGTGCTCCTAAAATATATTAAATTTCTTTTTAATTTGAACGCATTAGCTGTCCCATGGAGCGGACCGGCGTTTTCAGCTTTTGAAGCCGCGCTAAACGGCATTTAAACTCCCATGTCCCAATGGAGCGAGGTCTGTCGTCTGTAGCAGCGATCTGATGGATAGGCTCCCATTGGCTCTCGTGTGGCGTAGTTCCAAGGGACGCCACGAGAGAAGCCCTCTCCATGGCGGCGCAGCAGCCCGGCCGCCGGTAAGAAGGAGCGGCTGGCCGCCGAGCCAGCGCAGCCCGCACGGGCAGACTCCGGAGTGGTTGCACGGCCGAGCTCAGCGCGGCGCGGCCACTTCACAGAACGTGCGCTCGGCCGTCGGCCGGAACATCGGCATCGTGGCCGCCCACGTCAGTACACCGCAGACGAACTAAAGGGGCGGAAGGACAACATTCATGCTTTCGCATTCACAACTCATAGAAAACGCGTAGGTGCCCACTGAATATTTTTTGTTTTCAGTTCAAAATTTATTTGCTTATTGCCGAGTTCTCAGTTTTCATCCAAATGCAGCACTAGCGGCCCGGACCAGGTGACAAAGTTTCAGAGCTTGCCGATAAGTTGACCCAAAAGTTTTTATAAGCGGTTAAAAGAAAAGAACACTGGGAAAATGGCAGCCGACGAAGCCGGCGATGGCACAGAGATGAACGGCGTTAGTTACCGGAAACGGGCACCACTTTACCGTTAAAAGTTAAAAAAAAAAGAGTCACTTAAAGGTTTTAAATAGAATAACGGCAGCTTTTGAAAAATGTTAATCTGGTCCGGACCAGTAGCGCTATAGATTTTGGGCAGAGACATGAGCGCTCAGAACAGCGCAGTTCTATTTATTTATTTTTTTTTTTTTTTTCGGGAGAAAAAGAAAATATTAGATACTTTTAGTTTTCGGGGACACACTGTATTTGCCGCCGCGACAATAGTCTGAAATCACCATATTACTTCTCCCGTGGCGAGTTGTCACATGCTTTGCTCTGGCGTTCTGATTGGCACGCCCGGTTCTTCGCACGCGTCCTTCGCCGAGTTATGCTGTAATGACGTGCAACGGGAAGGGGGGAGGGGGGGGGGGGGGGGCATGTACTTATGCAAGCTGCCCTATAAGAGATTGGTCGAAACTAGCAAAGGCTTATACATGTTAACCGTTGTTAAAAAAAAGTCCGGCATTTGCGGAGCAATATTTTAATTTCCCCTATTATATGGAAGGTTTAAAGACCATGAAAATATTTTTCAACTTCTTCCTGTTTAGCATTCCTCCTCAACTCAAAAGCCAAATGCGAAATTAGGTGGTCGTGACGTGCTTGGGCATCAGATGGGATGACTCCAATATTTCCCCCTGCTTTTTAATCAATGGAACTTGTCATTCGCCAGTGAAGATAAGTCCCGTCAAAGGCACTCAATGGCCACGAACGCGAATCTAAATATTCGTCGACGGATTAATTCTTGGCGAGCGCATACGTCCGTGTGACGCAGAGCTCGTGTTCAATGCGTGAGCTGGGTTCGGCTGACGTGATTGGGCACCGCGGATGCATCGCAGTGAAAAAGAGGGAAGAAACAGTCCACTATATTTTCGAACGTCCGTTTAGCGAAAAGCAGGCTTTTGACTCTCTAGAACCCAGGGATCCTGGGTTCGAGCCCCACCCCTGCCCGTTTCGATCTGGATGAGCATCGTACCGGCGTGCGGTCGTGTATCACTTCTGCGCGATGCACGTTAAAGACCCCAGACTAGCGGATGTACCGCACAGGCCAAATTGCTCATCTACAGCTGGGAGACTCGTCGCCCCTGTGAGGCAGACCAAGTTCTAGGCTGTATAAACACACACACAACCCAATTTTTTACACCAGCTCGGAGCACGTGGAGCGAAAGCTCGTGCTGCAGAAGCCAGGGATCCTGGGTTCAATCCCCACCCCTGCAAACCTGCACGTTTCTATCTAGAGGAGCATCATATACCGGCGTGCGGTCGTGTATCACTACTGCGTGGTGCACGTTAAAGACCCCAGGCTAGCGGTTGTACTGCACTGGCTAAATTTTTCGTCTACAGCTGGGAGACTCGTCGTCCGTTGAGGCAGACCAAGTTCTAGGCTGTATAAACATACACACAACCCAATTTTGTTTACCCTAATGCACTAGATTTTCTTATTTTTTTATTTTTTTGCCCACCAAACGATATCGCGTGAGTGAACTCCCAATATAAAATCATTTATCTCAACCCAAAAATTAATTTCATGGTCCCTTTAAGATATAAGCCGGTGCCGTTTAGATTATACTTTATCTTCCCAAGATTTCAAACGCCTAAATCATCTCAATTCATCCTCCGACAACCACGCTATTCGTGTAACAACTATACTTCGCGCGGCGTATACGAACAACGCTCAAAACTTGAAGTTTTCTTGAGGTGTCAACGAGTAT